TTTTCATTTGTTTTTATATATTTACTTATCAAGCTATTATATCTTTTTATCATACACATATACTAAATGCCATAGCTTCAAATACACAGAGTTTGAGACATTTGTTTGCCAAAAAATTAATGTTTCATTGGAACTTTACAAAATCTGAGTCTGGCCCTGTAGCCTAGTGATTAAAGGAACCAGATCCTACAGGGCTGTCCACACTTTGAATCTTGTCCCCAGTGACTTAAAAAAAACATGCCAGCACATGTGCAAACACTCCATCCTGACAGTGTGGAAAAATGGAGGGGAAGGGATTGTGGTATGGCTCTACCCATTAAGGGTGCTTTCTCCTCTCTCTCTGTCTCTGTATTTCTCTCTGGCAAGTGCACACACCCTCTCATAGTCTTGTCATAAAATGCATGGCATATTCTATTTGGAATTTTATTCATGCACTAAGTGGATAACCCTTCTCTATATAGGGTATAAATCTCACTATGCACATGTATGTTTCAAAATAAGTTGATCACATTTGGTAAAAGTTGCTACTTCCTTTCACAGTCTGGAACCCTAATTATTACTGCTTTGGCTTAATTACTGAGATAATATTATTTTTTATGTAATTGGGATTGGTACTTCAGCATAGCTGAAACCCTGTAAAAGAGGACATCATCTGGGGTTAGCTGGTGGTGTAGTGGCTATGGTGACCGAATTGCATATGGCCGACTCTGCAATGTGAGCCTTAGACCCAGCAGTTTGAAAAAAATATGCTAGGCATGAGTGTGCACGTACCTAAAATCACAGAAGGAGAAATGGAAGAAAAGGATGTGGCATGACAATTCCCTGTGGGGGTGCTTTATTACCCTTCAAGCCTGTCTTTTCCAGCAAGCACACATTCCTTCTAGCAAATAAACAGAACAAAACAACAAAGAGGACACCATTAATCAACAGCTTTGCTAAATTTAGGGCAAGGTTTCTCAACATCAGCAGCATGGACATATTTGGCCAGTTAATTGTTGTCCTGGGGAGTGTCCTGTGTATGGTAGTATGTTTAGAAGCATCTCTGGATACTACCCACTAGGTGCCAGGAGCCCCTCCTAGTTCTGACAACCCAAAATACCTTCAGACACTAGTAATTTTTCTCTCAGGGGCAAAACGGTCCCCAGTTTAAACTGTACATACTGTATATGTACTAAAGTATGAGTATGTGATGGAGGCTATGGTGATTGGGTCACCATAGCAGTCCTGAAAGCTTGGTAACAGGATGATCTAGTTTTTGGTAAATGTTCTCTTTCTGGCTTACAGAGGGCTGTCTTCTTGCTGTGTCTAAAGATGGTGAAAGAACTAGCTAGATCCCATTTCTTTATTATTAAACAATTTATGTTTCTTCTTTATTTGTGATAGAACATAGATCCATGAGTAGGGGAGAGAGAGAAATGAGAACCCTCCACGGAGTCGGGTAAAGGCACCATGCCCTTCCTCCAGTTCATCAGCTGTTGAGCATTGGCATGGATGCCCAGTGGATTTCAGGCTGACTGTGCCAGGAATTCATACCATGGTAGCCATGTGGGGTCCAGTTTCTTTTGAGCAGTGCATTACCGTTGTAGTCTGTTACTCAGTTTCATAACTTGCTCAAAGAGTCTGAACAAAGCTCAAGAAAAAAGTAGCCGCTTTTTTGAATTGATAAGCACCATGTAAGTGTTCTGAGGTGCAGAGTAGTTTGAAATGAGGAAGACAATCCCAGAAAGGGGAACCAGCAGATGGCATAATGGTTATGTCTCTGGACTCCCATGTAGTCAACCATGGTTTTAGTCCCGGACCCAGTGGCTTAAAACTCACACCGGTATGTATGTATGCCTGCCCAAAATCCTGAGAGAATGAAGGAGAAGGGATCGTGGCATGGCCATCTCCACTGGGGGCTGATTTCTCACTTTCTCTGTTTCTGTCTCTCCAGCAAGCACATGTACCCTACAGCAAAAATCTCTTAAAAAAAAAAAAAAGAAAGAAAAGGAAATCCCAGAAAGGAATCAACAAATAAGAGGGAAGTCCCCAAATCTGCACCCAATAATCCTTGGATGAATCCTAAAATGCAAAGGGATTAAATGGAAAACAAGAGCTGAAAGGCTGAAAGAGCTAAACAGAGATTTCAAAAAGATTTTTTTCTTTTAGCATTTCAAGATGTCATTTACTTGTCTTATGGCCTCAGTTGTTTCTGATGAGTAGTCTATCATCATTCCTGTGGTAGGCTTAGGTGCTATTTGTGGCTTATCGATCCAGTAAGGCTGCTGCTTTCTCCTTGAGTTTTATCCAGACTCTGAGCAAACTGGTGAGAGCCTTAAGGGGCAAGTTGGTTAAATGTGGAGCTCACCTAGATTTCTTCCTCTTTCCTAAGGAAAGTTTCTGTATGCTTTTGTTAGCGTCCAGTGCCTTCAAGAACCGTGTTTTCTACTTTGTCCAGTTACTGTTATCAGCAAGAGGGTTAGTTTGTTGTGAGCAATTCCATCTCACTGCACTTGAATTTGTCACATTAGGTTTTACGTGAGTGATATATCTAGGGGTCAACCTTTTTTTTTAATTATTTTATTTAACTTTATTTATTCATTCATTTATTTATTTCAATTTGACCAGAGAGGGATAGAGAGAAAGAGAGAGAGAGAGAACAAGCTGCCAGGTCCAGGACTCGAACCGTAGTCAGTCATGTGGGAGTCCAGCACCCTTAACCACCAAACCACCTGCCAGCCCCAAGGGGTCAACCTTTTTTGGGTATAATTACATTGTAACAAAAGATAAAGCATAAACAAAGTTTGTTTTTGGTAAGACTTGCCGGTATTAACCTGCAAGTACATAGTCCTTAGAAATTCCCAATCTCCTAAATTTCTCTCCCATTGGGATTTAATCATCACTAGGTGAACAGGGCAAAAAAGGAGGGGATTTTTCTCTTTAATTTCCAAAACAAATTTCTCTCTATTGCATAACAGTGACTAGTCTGGCATGCAAAGGTAATATCTATCTGCCTGTCTCCATTCCCTGGGCTTCTGTTTCCTTTCCTAGACAACGGAATGTCTGGCTCACATTTTCCCTCCTCTTGTAACCTCAGGTCAAATTTTCAATATTATTACTCACATGGTATTTCTCCTGTAACAAAAGCTTCATAGGTCTGCATTCTCTTTGGTACTATTTTTTTCTGGGTTTTGTTTTTGTTTTGTTACCATTTATTCAAGATCAATAGGCCTTTTACAGTGACAGTCCTATTGATTACTGGGATCTCTAAATCACCATTTTTCTACATATACCCTATCTTTGTTGTTACTAATGCATTCAACCCCTCACAACAATTGAACATTGTTAACCCTACACACTTTATGAGATCATGCCTTCTACTCTCTCTACCCTTTAGTTTTTCCTCTTATACTTTACTGATTTTTGATAGAAGTCCATTCATTCCATTCAGCACCCAAACAGTGAAAAACAAAAACCAACAACAAAGGCACACAAACAACCCAAGTTTCTTTTCCTTTTTAAAGATAAATTTAAGAGACAAAGCGAGAGAATTGATTTTGACAGGGTCTTTCCATGTTGGTAAACTCCTGCCTCAGCTTCCCAGGTAGCTAGAACTACAGGCATGCACCACCATGACTTTCCTGTTCAGAGTAGACTGGGAACCTGCCCCCTAGTCCCAAGGGGCCTTAGTCTCTGAGTAGCAGCATCTTAGCATGTGCCATAGCAGCTGAGCCCAAACCTAGTTCCTCTAAAGCTAGATTCGTTCTCTTGCTAATTGAGCCTTCTTTTTTTTAAAGAATTATTTTCTTTAACTTTATTTATTTATTTTTTACATTTTGATCAGAGAGGGACAGAGCTAGAGAAAGAGAGAAAGTGAGAAAGCAGCTGCCCAGTACTGGACTTGAACCATGGTCGGCCATGTGGAAGTCCTGAACCCTTAACCACCACGCCACTTCGCTGGCCCCTAATTGAGCCTTCTTAACCAGACAGGAATCAAGGAGTAGTCTGAGAACCTGGCCCTACTTCTATACTTCTATAAAGTTCTGCCATCAACCAACAGAGAACTCTTAATTATTCTCTTAACCCTCCATTCTACTGTCTGTGAAATGAGGAAAGTACTTGTCTCTGTGTTTTACTATCTTAGTTTAAAATGGCAGAGAAGCACATTCCAGGCTGGCAGGTATAATGACAATGGAAGGAAAAGCTAGGGACAGGACTGCATGCATCTCTCGGTAAGCTCCCATCTGCAAAGATTGAGTCACGGGGAGATGTTGAAGGAGACAGGCCAGATGTGGGATGTAAGGTGGCCTCGATAGAGAGCTTTGCTGGTTGCTTTATTTCCCAAGTGCTGCTCTGAGTCTATCAGAGCTTCATGCAGTCTCTTTCTTCCTGTCCCAATTCCCCACATTGTCCTCCCCACCACCCCAACATATGATCTAATTTTCAGGGTTTTTTTTTTTTTTTTTTAAATTATGTCTCTGGACCAGCAGTTAGCGTAATGGCTATGTCACTGAACTCCCACGTAGTCGACCACGGTTCGCATCCTGGACCCAGTGGCTTAAAACTCATGCCAGGCACGTGTGCGTGCGTGTCCAAGATCCCGAGAGGAGAAAGGAGGAGAAGGGATTGAGGCGTGGCCATCCCCCCTGGTGGGTGATTTCTCGCTTTCTGTTTCTCTATCTCTCTCTGTCTGTCTGGCGAACACACGTGCCCTATAGCAAAAAGACTCTCAAAAAATCAAAAAATAAAAATTATGTCTCTAGTTCTTCTGTAAGAGACAGAGATAGAAGAGAGAAATAGAGAAGGAGCACCCCCACAGGGTCCGTGGCACCAGGATCCATCTCCGGCCCTCAGTCAGCTAATCATGTTCAAAGGTTGGTCTCTCCCTCTGGCCTCATCTTTGGCTGAAACTGAATAAAACTATATAATCTATATATGTATTAAAATAAGCTGAGAACAATGTCTTTCATTCCTTACTTAAAGCCTTCTGAGGGTTATAAACGTTTTTATTCAATAATACTCAAGGTAATAACTTAGAAAACTGCTTTGATGGGAGTAGAAACTCATAAACAATAAATTTAATAGCCCTTTGTTTAAAAAAATCAGTAAGAAGGGACAAAGATAACTCCCATATTTTTACAGTGAAGAAAGATATGTTTGAACATTAGTAGTAGGGTGTGACCTGTGAAAATCTTTAACCAAATGGCAAGAAAAAAAGAGCTTTACAGTGGAGACTTCATATATAAAACGCAACCTGATCATCCGTCATAAATAAGCAACCTGTTCTGCACAGATAAGGAGACATGAAAATCAAAGGAACTCAGTGATTGTTCCATTCAGCATTACACTATGTAAGACCTAACCCCTTCGTCTACTTAGGGCTACTTTTCCACTTCAACAACAAAAAACTGATCTTGACTGTGGTTGAGCTTTGCTCTTACTTTGCCTTTAAAGAGATTACCTTGAAGAATAATGTTGATTATTTTTCCATCTCCAAAGCCTGAAGGTCTTGTTATCCCTCTCCCCACCTAAGTGAGTATTATAAAAGAATTTTGTGTCTACTTACCACATAAAAATATGATCTGTACAGGACAAAAACCCCATGTACTTTAAGACAGTGTTGATGTTCATTTGACTTTGTTGGTACGTTTTTGTGATGTGTAAAGGCCTTGGGTCTTTTATTTAAGGAGGGTGCTCTGTACATTTGATCAGAGCAATTTTGTTCCGTTCTCTCTCTTCTCCATTCTTTTTCTCCTATTTAAAGTACAGTGTGTTGCAACTATAACAAGGCAAATGATTCCTATCAAACCCATTGCTGTTAAAACCCCTTTCAAAATAAGACAATCTCTGGCAAGTGCAGGAGCGGAATTTGGGGGAATATACAGAGATGCCTGGACAATGTTAGATACGGCAGACTTTAAGGCATTCTCATCCATCGCTCGTATTGCCACATAGACTCTGTGGCTTTCTTGTGTCTCTCCATCAGGGTGATGTTCAGGTCCATGTAGGAAAAGTTTGGGTGAGAATGTAAACCTCTCCTTGGTGCCAGCTAGCTGAGGATTTAGCTTTGATGTATTCACTAAAATAGCACTGTTAAAGTCACGTTGAATATTCCGTAGACTCTTACTCATTCTTATTTCATAGCTTGTAGCTGAAATTGAAAGATATAAATGGATTGGTTATCTCCAGTACGTTTTCTAGTTTATTAAAAATAACTAATGGAAACAGCAACCAAAGTAAAAAAAAAAATCTCAGCATAAACATGACCAGGAATATGAATATTAGCAAAAACTTTAAACCACTACATAACAACTCATATTAAAATGAGTAAGAGGACGTACGCTTTTTGAAAAGTATGATTCAACATAATAAAAATGTTATTTTCCTAAGTTATGTAGTAAATTTTATGTTTTTTCTCTAAACTCCCAAGGCTATTTTCACCCAACTAACCCCTGAACCCCTGACCCCGTTGTTACAAATATCTCTTCTTGGAAAATAGCTTAAGGAAGGAAACAAGCAAGCCTACCCTGGCCCTGGTCCAAGTCTTCTCCAGGTGCTGTCCATGAGAGAGTCACCTCCTCTTCCACTTTGACAGCTTCCAGGTCAGTAATTTTGCATGGTAGAAACATGTCAGGATGGGGCCTGGTTGGAACTCCCAGCACTAAAAAGGAGCCCCCTGAGCTTACTCGGCTAAAGCCCCACTTCTGCTTTTCCTCATTTCGACCCACTGACTTCCTTGGGGCATTCATCCGAATATTACCTGAGACACACAAAAGAAAAGAATAGCTAAAACGAGTTACAAAACTCCTGAATAGTTTGTTCCAGACAGTTTAGTGGGACTTTCAACCTTTGTTCCTTTACTGTGTCTCTGGAATAACTGTTCTTTTATTCAATAATCCATTCATTTGTTCGCTCAGTGAATATTTATTAAGGGCAGATGCTGCACTGACAAAGCAGTATCTCTTATGGAATATATAGTCATGTTAATCATATTGATAAACATATATTTACAAATTGTGATCATCGTAAGAAGGAAAATAGATGCTACGAAAGAAAATGACCCAGGTACATAATTCAGAGTGACATTGAGGAAGAAATAGCATTTAGGGTTTCCTAAAGATAGAGCAGGAGTCAGCCAGGTGAACAGCAGAGGGAAGAACGTCCCCGGCAGCGGGAGCAGCTTGTGTAAAAACCCTGAGATGCAGAGGAGCTTTCAAATTGGAAAAACTAAATTAAAGAAAGGAGGGTAGTTTGAGAGGAGACAGGAGAGAGAAGTTCATTCGGGACCTCATGGGCCAGTGTATTTTAATCTTACATGCTGCAGGGAGCAGGGACTGGCATGATCATATTTGTTTTCTGTCAAGCCACTCTGGTTGCTTGTTGGAGAATGGATTAAGGCACAGCAAACAACGAGGCCACTGAGAGCCACTCATCATAGTTCAGGCGAGAGAAGATGTCAGGGTGACGGCAATGGGAAAAGGCAAGAGAGAGGCAGGCCAAGATGTGTTTGGGAAACAAAATAGCAAAAGCTAGATTTGAATATGGAATGATGAATAAGGAAACGTTGGTTAACAGACAAACATATGAAAACTTCCAGCTTTCAAACATGAGCAATTTCAGAGAAAATGAACGCTAAGGAGAAAGAAATCAAAATGAAAGTTACAGGGTTTGTGATTCCTATAAAACATCTAATTCAAGATGCCAGTCAGCACGTTACACATGGATTTTAAGTTCATAACATGTTTTAGCTAAGTTTAATAATTTTGAAATTAGAATTTGGAGGTTATAGGCATGTGGATTAAAGCCATACAGATTAATGAGATTACCTACTAACTATAATGATAAGGAGCATTTATTGATCAGTTACTATGTGCCAGACTCCTTTCTAAGTATTTCACATGTATCAACTATTTAATTTCCCAGCAAGGGTAGGAGGAAGGTTCAATTATTACCCCCATGTGTGTAGATGATGAAACTGAGGCACACAAAAACTAAGTAACTTGTCCAGAGTCCTACAGTTAATATAGGGAGACACCATGTTTCAAACATGGGCAATGTGGTAAAGTAAGAAAGTTTGAACTGAGCTTTGAGGATTGTCCACATTTAGAGGCCTGGTAGAAAAGATAGAGCTAGTCTAAGAACCTGCCAAAAAATTCCAGAGGATTAGAGGCAATTAGGAGAATGTGGTATTATGGGAGCCAGGAAAGGCAAAGGAGAGCTCTATCAGATTTGCTATGTACTGCTGAAGTCAGGAAAAATGAGTCCTGGAATGTGCCTTTTGGATTGAGCAGCAAAATGGTCATGGGTGACTCAGGCCAGAGCAATTCCAGTGGAGTGATTTGGGTGGAAGACAGATGGCAGTGAGCAGAGCAGTACATTAGCAGAGGGAAGCTACAGTTAGCAGGTTTTAGTTAATTTCAGGGAACTAGATGATAGGGAGTTGAGAGGTGGAGAGTAGCTGGAAGGTGACCAATAGAAACTTTTTATTTTTGGTATGGGAGATAATAAAACATACTTGAATGCTTCTCAGCAGGGTCAGCAGAAAAGGGAAAATTCTAAAGACCTTCTTATGGGATCCAGAGCGGATCTAGCAGAAACACTGGCCTTTGGGGAAGAAAGGAAGGATGCAGATGCTGCAATGTCTAGAAATCTGCTGTGGAAACAGAGCAGCTCTCATCACACAGCGAAGTGTGCACTCTAGGTCCTCTCCCGGCAATGAGCCAGTGAAGTGAATGTTACGTACTGTCGGCATGTCTCAGGAACACTTTTTCTTTTCTATGCTCTTAAGGGTCTGTATGAAGCTACACAGATAAATTGTAGTTGAAGACTATTTTTATAATCTCTCTGTACACTAGGTGGTGATATTTTCATTCTTGAGACTCATGAGTTTTATGTTTTTGTTTTGTTTTTAAGAGAGATTTTTGCTATACGGTGTATGTGCTCACCAGAGAGACAGAGAGAGACAGAGAGACAGAAAGCTAGGAATCACCCTGCAGTGGGGATGGCCACGTCACAATCCTTGTTCCTCCATTCACCTTTTGGGATTTGGGGCATGCACATACGTGTACCTGGCATGAGTTTAAGACACTGGGTCTGGGACTCAGACTGCAATTGACCACATGGGAGTCCAGTGACATAATCATTATGCCATCTGTGGTCCCTAGATTCGTGAATTTTAAAAAGATACTCAGATGAGTCAGCATCCTGCAACTTCCTTGATAAAAATCACATCTTATCTACTTGGTATCCCATGTTTCTAAGATTAAGCCTGTCACTTAGTGGGCCTTCAGAAATGCGGTATATAATGGGATCAGCAGTTAGCGTAACGGCTATGTCGTTGGACTCCCATGTAGTCGACCACGGTTTGAGTCCTAGACATGGCGGCTTAAACTCGTGCTGGGCATGTGTGCGTTCGTGCCCAAGATCCTGAGAGGAGAATGGAGGAGAAGGGATTGTGGCATGCCAATCCCCCCCTGGGGGGGGGTGATTTCTCACTTTCTGTCTCTCTGTCTCTGCCTTTCTGGCGAGCACATGCGCTCTATAGCAAAAACCTCTCCAAAAAGGAAAAGAAAAAAAAGTGGTATATAAGTAAAAGAGGGAAGATCTATTTGGAAATGAAATGTTATATCTAGATATAAAATCATATCAATGCAATAAAACCATCTTACATTGTAAATTGATTAAGATTGGTTTTGAAGTAATTAAAATTATTTTAAGTAAAGGTCAGCGTAAATTGTGTTCTAGGCAACACAAAAGATCAAAAGATATAAATCCATGGTGGCGTGTTGAATATTTTCTAGTGAAAAATACATCTAGAACAAAAAAATACAGAATCACGTTGTGAAATAGTAGTTACTTATAACTGCCAACAAATATGAATAATATTCATAAAGACTCTACTTTTTTGAGAACAAAAATTATTTAGAACTATTTTGAGACTGTTTTAAAGACTATAGCATGATATATTTCTGTTTGTCTATTATACCATAGCCACTGTTTCTTATAAGGAACTATAATAATGATACGTATATTCTATTTATTTGGTGCTTTTATCTTGAAGGGAAATAGAACATCTTCGAGAATCAACAGGCATCTATAGCGTTCAAGCTCCTACTCATTCAGGAACTCATTTGTTCAAAGAACTGCTTCTTTATTCTCTTTCTTTTTTTCTTTCTTATCAGTGAGAGAAAAAGGGAGGAGAGCAAGAGGGAAAAAACACCCACAAATCAGGCATGGTCATGCCATAATCTTTTTCCCTCCATTTCTCCATCCAGTTAGGATTTGGGGCACACAGGCACATGAGCCTGGCATGGTTTTTAAGCCATTGGGGTGGGATTGAACTGTGCTTGACCATGTGAGATCCAGCTCCCTTAACCACTGTGCTTTGAGGTGACGCTTCATTCTTTCAGCTCTTATTTCTTGTCTTTTTTCTCTTGCCTAGACCCCTAAAGGGGAAATAAAGGAGCAGGAACTGAGAATTGCAGTAAATCTCTTTATAAGTAATTCTGATGAAACAAGAAAGAGGTAAAAATAATGACTAGACTGAAGTTGGGCATAATCTGTGGGAATTTCCTATTCCTGCCTGTTATCCACTACCATGAGTCATTGATGATTGAAGAAATACTGAACAAATAATGTAGCGACAAGAAATCTTACCTTTCTTTTTCTCGCTTTTCTCTCTCTCTTCTCAATATATACATGCACATACTTATCAGAGAGATAAACATGAAATGATCTTGTTCAGATAACAAGTGCAGATGATCCTTACCATTTGTTATGTAACCAGGTACATGCATAGCGTGACTCCCTGGAATAGAGTGGGCTGAGGTGCTTATGCTGGGAAGGTAATTGACATGGACTTTCAAGTTGTATCTACCACTTTCAGCAAAGGAGAAAAAATACCTCGAGTAAATTCCATCATTTTTTATAATATCAGCACCTGGGTATATAAAAATAACTCAATGTCAGCATGCTGTCATAGCTGGTTCCTAATATTTCACTAAGCCATTAAAAATAAAATTTACTCCATTTATTTGCCCCATTTTAATAAGTGTCATCATGGTCATAACTACTTTGATATTATCAGGTACTTGGCCAAAGAATAGTCTAGGCTTATCTTATGGAACACCAGTTCAATTTTAAAGTTTCTCCTCCAACCAGGTCCAAAGGGGGAAAAAATGGGTTAACTCGAAAACCGAATTGCTCCATACTTTCTTCCCATGTTCCCTTAACCTCTGAAAAATTATTTTCTAAAGGTGAATAAGTTGTACCTACTTCAGTGCTAATGAGACACTTAATAATTACCTTTAATGATCTCTTTCCTTTCATTGAAAAACTACTAGTTTTTTGCTAGAAACCAAGCACATTCTTAAGTGTGTTTATGGTCACAGATCATTTTGAGATAAAAGCTGTTTCATCCTTAGTAAATAAATATATGTGCATATTTACACATTTTCATACAATTTCAAGGGTTTATGAATGCTCAGAAGTCATTCAGTGTAGAACGTGTGGTGAATAAAAATTTTGGCAGTGGTAAAATAGTATAAAATTACTTAATTTCCTCATTAGTGAGTACATGGAACTGCTATGCTAGATTTTAAAAGGCTTAATGACTTGGAGTTTGGCAGGCTTCGGTGCCCTCCGCTTGTGCCTTGCTTTGGGGGAGTTCTAAAAGCATGACCAGTACTAGTCTGCCTTCCTTTCGCATTGCTCCCCAGTCAATGTTGAGCCAAGTCCGTGACTGGCAGGAAGGCCTAGGCCCCAGGGCAGCTTAGCCCAAATGCAGCTGGGCCACACTGGGCAAACTGCTTGTTCTGTCCCAGGAGTCAGTTCTCACATCACACACCCAGTCCTATACTCAAATGTCGTAACCCGCTAATGTATACTAAAGTCCTCCCTTTTCCCACTACAGGGCAGGGCTCCTGAGAAAATTAGAAGTACATTTAAATAAAATAAGAAGTGCAAATTTTTTTCTGACCTATCTTGCTGATAAGATAGGTCAGAAAAAAATTGTTTACTGGAAATAAATCATATCTTGATATTTAGTGATCTAATGAGGACTAAGATCTATATTTGTTGAAAATTACAAAGGAAAATCTCCATATTATGGTCATAGTGGTCACCTCTTTTAAGCACTGAGGCAGAAAGAAATGGAGAGAGCTTGAAAGACAGTAGATTTGGCTTTAAGGTCTGGATCTGCCACTTAGTTGTGAAGCTTTATGTCTCTGAGCCTCTGTTTTCCCATCTATTAAATGGGAATAACATCTCACAAGGTTGTGATGATTCTTTTTTTATTTTTATTTTTGGAGAGATTTTCGCTATAGGGCGCGTGCACTCGTCAGACAGACAGAGAGAGACATAGGGACAGAAAGCGAGAAATCACCCCCCAGGGGGGATGGTCACACCGCAATCCCTTCTCCTCCATTCTCCTCTCAGGATCTTGGGCACGCATGCACACATGCCCGGCGTGAGTTTTAAGCCACCAGGTCTGAGACGTGAACTGTGGTCAACTATGTGGGAGTCCAGCAACATAGCCATTACGCTAACTGCTGGTTCCCAGTTGTGATGACTTTTGACAGTACGCATGACAAAATACATTTTAAATTAGCAAGCATTTTACAAGTATAAATTTCATCATTCTTCATTAATTTTACTTGCCAGCTAAGTACTTCTTCTGTTATAAAAATTATTAGACAACTGTGTACATATTTGTTAGATATAAAGGGGTGGAAACTACACTTTGATGCCTAAGCAATAGTTTTCCTTGTTTCTTGCATTAGGATATATATTTAGATAGCAAACAAGAAATAGTTCCAGGGAATAAATATAAAGGCTGTTGAGCTAAATCAGATAACTTTCCCTAAGACAACAGATCTGTTCTCCAGGCCAGTCCACTGGCTGGAGTAAAGGTGAACTATTCTGCAAGGTGAATTTTTGGACTGTATACAAATAATGAAAGGTTATGGTCATGGATAAGCAATCAGAGCATGAGATCTGGATCCATTCCAATAGGAAAAACAAGAAGACTTCTCTGGTATCCTTCTGAGGTAGACTAGCACTAAAATCCTTTGAAAGAACGTTTGTTTCATGAAAGTCCTACTTGATTGCCATGGCAAGATCCAAGTTGGCTGCCAAACCTAAGACTCTTGAACAAAGAAATTGACTTTGAAACAACAGGGCGAAGGGATATGCTTTTAATAGTGGATCAGACACATGGCACTGCCAATGTAGACTTTAAGGTCTATTGTCATCCTGAGGATTTAGTTTAAGGAAAAAAAAAACAGGAAAGATGAAACAACAAAGGAGTTTGTTTTAAAAGTCAAAAACGTTAGCGAGAAAGAATCCAAGTGCTGCTGCTTGCCAGGCCTGATGTTGGGCTGTGTGTAATGTGTTAATATAACCAGGCTCTCAACTCGGAGTGAGAACTTTGAAGTAGGATTTTTGTTTTGTTTTACTTTGTATTCTGAGTGCTACGGAAATCTCTATCCTGGTCTTCTTGGGACCAAATCACATAAAAAACGCACTGGGTGTGCTAGAGATAGGCCATGTCCTTTCACCAACCCAGCTACTTGGCCAAAGAGTAGTCTAGGGTCACGAAGTGGGTCATAAGTTCAATGTCCAATTTTCTCTTTAAATCACATCTGAAGGGAAAAAAATGAGTTAACTGTCACTGTATCTCCCTTCTTAGGCTTTCTTTTGCTATTTCAATTGTCCAATCTAATTATTGAATTGTTGGGAAAATAATGATGTATTTTTTCTATGCAAAAATGTGTCATGGACTTTACTAACAACCCAATATTTCAGTAAAGTAAAGCTGGGACTCTTAAGAAATATAGACATTTCATGAGGACCTATAAGCCTGTTTCTGGGTGACCTCACTGTGTGTGCATGGCCAGTAACACTGGTCAAATGGAAACTAAGAACAGGGTGACAAATGCTAACATTTTTCTCTGGTATGGTGCTCTGAGGAGCCTTATGGGGACTCTTTACCAAGTCAACTTGTAGCTACTCAATATGTCAGTGATTCTGAGAGTATGAGAATCTGATATGATGGGGTGAGAAAAATAATTGGAGGAATCTTAACAGATAAGCTTAGCATTGACACCACCATACACTGACCTGACAGATCTTGAGACATTAAAAACATGATACTCTTAGTTACCTGCTCCATCATCAGAAAGTTTCAGCACAACAGGATCTCCAGTCTTGGTCTCAATCGTAGCAGTTACCGTGGCATTAAGAATGGGATAAAACCCCTTTCTCACATTTGCATAAATCATTACAGGATGGGGAAAATGGGTGCTGTCTCTTTCCACAAAGGTTTCCACAGTGGCTGGGGGTAGAGCTAAGCTAGAAGCTCGAGAGGTCACTGTCATTTTCAAGGCTTGGAGGGAATGGTGAGTATTGTTCAGTGTGTAAGTCCAGTGCCCAGGCTGTAAAACAAAGACTTTTTGTCTTGTAAAGTATGAATGGAAAAAAAAATCAGTCCTTAATTTGAAAGTATATATCTAAGCCCCTAGGGTTTTTTCTTTTCTTTTCTTTCTTTTTGCTCTGATTTTATTCATATTACATTAAAAATACTATAACCGATTGTCAGGAAATGCAATAGTGGTTAAACGATGACTAAATACATGATTTTCATAGCATAAGTCTCTTTTCATTGTTGGGTTACTCTTTAGGGAATTATACCGTGCATTTATTTGTGGAGAAGTGTGTGACTAACATTTTTAGAACGTAGAAAGTGTCCAGCTTCAAAGTACTTTGCAATTATTAATCTGAGCCCCTTTACCCAAAAGGAAGTTCATCGTTTTATTCTTTTTTATAACTTGGGAACATTATATCAAATTAGGTGTACCGTTATCATTTATCCGGACACCCTGGACTGCAAGGCAACAATATCTTTCTTTCCTCCTTTCCTCTCAACTCCCCATATGCAGAAATCTCAAGCAACAAAAACCACATGCATTATGAGAGACCAAGAAAAAGATCTACTATTTTTATAGGTCAGGATTGCACAATATCTGTGTTGAGTAATTTATGGAAACGCTGCTAACTAATCACTTGCCTATCTAGACTGCCAGGGAGAAACCTGCAAAAGGCAGTCTAAAGGAAAAAAGCTGAAGCTAGACTGTAGCAAAAATTTCTTTTTTGCTTAAGCTACACATAAATTGATTTTTTTCCTGACTCTTGCTGCTCTTACTTCCTTATATAACTCTAGAAACAACAGGAGGAACTCAATGGAGCAGGAGGAAAAGCAGAAAGCAATAGGTTTAGGTATGACGTAGGATGGACTTAAGATGCCACCATGTCCTACCCAGCCTTCTTTACTGGGACTCATGTACTTTGCCACTTTCCAATGAAATCATTTTCAAGCATGAAGATTATCTATAAATATCTCTCCTTCTTTTTTGGAATCATAACATTAGTATCAGGTATATTATTTTCCACATCAAAAACTTCTCATTGGGTGTACTTAGTGTTTTGATACAAAGCACCTAATCCACACTAAGAGGTCACATAAAGGGAGCAAGAAATAGATAAAGTGGGGATCAGCAGTTGGCGTAATGGCTATGTTGCTGGACTCCCATGTAGTCGACTGTGGTTCAAGTCCCAGACCTGGTGGCTTAAGCTCCTGTTGGGCGTGTGTACATGCATGTCCAAGATCCTGAGAGGAGAATGGAGGAGAAGAGATTGTGGTGTGGCCATCCCCCTTGGTGGGTGCAGGGGGGTGATTTCTCACTTTCTGTCTCTCTGTCTTTCTGGTGAGCACATGCGCCCTATAGCAAAAACCTTTCCAAAAAAAAGAAATAGGTAAAGTGTCCCTGGCCACCTGTGCAGGTGTGGAAAGAACACAATGAATTTGGAGAAAGCTTCAGTAGGAGCAGAGTATAGAGTTTCAGGGAGAAGAGTTAAGAAATAAACTTGGGTAGAAGCCAGAGCATGAAGGGCCTACTGGAACCGCTTGGATTTTAGCCTGAAAACCCCAAAGAGTTTTGAACAGGAACCAGGTAGATCAGATTTGTGCTTCAGAAGGCTCGCTCTTTTGAAGAGTGAAGAATAGGTGGGAGGGAATGACAGTTCTGAGTCAAGATGGCCAAGTAAGAGGCGGTCCACAATCATGGCGATGTGGCTGGGGGTTAGGGCATGAGGAGGCACTGGATTTAGGCAAACCTGATCAAGTCACAGCCCTGCCAAGAACCTTTAGTGGTTCCCTCTTACCTTGAGGATTCAAGCCCCTACACCCTTTGCTGTCACACAAAGACCTTGCTGATGTGACTGCTGTGTATTTGACTAGTCCCAATACTCCCTCTCCTTCCTTCACCTTGAATCCCGTGTTGGATGCCACTCTGTACCTCATCCACACTGAACTCTCACACTTCTATGGATGGTCATGTTCTTTCTCTCTGAGCCTTTCTATGTGCTATTTCCTTTGCCCAGCATATTATTCACACCTTCTGGTCTGCATCCCCATGTTTCCATTTCAGTGTCTTTACTTTCAGGAACCCTTCTTGTCCTCCTGTACATATGCTCTAATAGTACCCTGTGCTTACCCTTATCATGACATTTTATTGTAAAGTACCTAGAACATGATCTAGCACATAGCAGGTGCTCAAAACCATGCATATCATTTGTACGTATGTTATAAATTTTAGGTGGAGACTTTTCCCTAAGAATATAGATGAGTATGTATATATGAATTAGGTAAAGAAAGATGTAGGCTAGGAAAAAAACCACTAGTAGAAATACTGACTTCCATTGTAGAAACCAAAAGCCTTTGGTATCAGGTATTTAAAGTTTTAAATATACCTTAATTTTTCCTCCACGATTTTTTACATTTCCAGTGTCTTCATAGATTTAAAAATATATCAGAACAAGATTTCTTTTACACACTGCAACAATCATGTGATTCCATTGAAAGTCACATTCTTGGCTAAATTTTGTCATTATGAACAAACTTGAACACTTACTGTGGCAGTTCCTGGAATCCGAAGGCTAGCAGTTTGAAAAGCTAGATTGGTGATAAAATTATTTGTGTAGTATTTTCTTCCATTAGGATCCAGTAATACAATCTCAGGGGGACCACTGGTTTGCCATGTTACTAGAAAGATAGTGTCATTGCCCACACTGTTATCCACAGTCACAGTGTTTTTCAGCTGGTGGTGAGGTTTAACATTTTCACCCATACTTTCAAGCTGTTAAAGAGAATATATATGTGAGTTTCTAGTGCATGCATAATCATTCCTTTTTTTCTTTGGGACAAATAAAAAATAAATCAGCAAAAATAAAAATTGTTTGATTTTGACAGTTTCTATATTCATATAAATTATTTCTTATATAAAAGTGCATTACTAAAGCAAAAATATTATATATAAGTATGGTAGTTATAAAATACTCTGTTATACTTAATACAAGTATTATCTCATTTTTAAAAGATTAGATATTTAATTTTATTTATTATTATTATTAACATTTTCTATAGGGCTTGTGCACTCACCGGAGAGAGACAAATAGAGAAAGTGAGAAAGCAGACTGCCAGGTCTGGGACTCGAATCGCAATTGGCCATGTAGAAGTCTAGTGCCTTAATCACCGTGCCATCTGCCAGCCCCATACCTCATTATTCTTTATAAAGAGATTTTAGCTATTCTTCTATTACCTCATACAAATCAACATGACCTCAGATCAACAATTATGAAAGCAAGCTTTTAAACCATTTCGTTTGTGAATGTATTAAAGCTGTTTTAATTTGTATGTAATTTCTCTAATAATTTTACATATTTTAACCAGAAATAAGAAGTTGGATTTTGGGAGTATTTGGTACATTAGAAAAAACTTAGCCATTCACAGTAAGCCATGTGTGTCCACGTATGTGTAACAAGTACAGAGTACATATGTATTCTTGGGACTGTGTGAAATGCTTCACATATATTATCTTACTTGAGCCTTATAAAAACCTGAGATAAATACTATTGCTATCCACAGTTTTTAGATGAGAAGACTTACTTTAGAGAAGTAATTTGTCCAACGACACTGAACAATGAGAAGCTAAGAAAAAACTCAGGTGGGCTGATACTAGGACTCCTGCATTTAATTATTGTAGATTTGCAATGGACACAAATCAGTAAGTAACTTTGAAAATGTATGTTCATTAAATAAACACATTAGCCACTTCTCATAAAGTGGCTCAAATCTGCAAAGCATGTAAAATTATATTGGTGGATGACAGCAAGGACGTTGTGGGTTATCTGTTCAAATCAACTGAACAAATGCCTGTGGACTACTGACCACTGTTCCACATTCTGTGCTGGGCCCCGGGCCACTGAAGGGGATTTAGACGTGGCTCATCTCTCAGTCTAGTGGGCTAATGACATATGAAAACTCGGAGAGGTAGCCAATTTGAGCCCATATGAGTGATATTTTATGTAAATTTGGTTTTTACTTTTTAAAAACATTTGGGATGTTTTGGTTTTGTTTTTTTAAAGTTTATTTATTCCTTTCTTCTGTTAGTGAAAGAGACAGAGACAGATGCCCAGTGTGGTCTTCATGCTAAGATCCACCCCAGCTATAGCCAGCCCTGGATCAGAGGCACATGTGTGCCTAGCATGTTCAGGAAGGTTTCTGGATGTGGGTCAGCCTTGCAGAGTATTGTGCTACCACTGCACCATGTTCTGGTCCCTAAACGTTTGCTTCAATTCCGAAGAGAAAAACCACAAAGATATAAAGATCATTGAGCATTATCTGCAGAAGAGTTACTTATAATTTAATCTGTGAAACATATCACCATTTATAATTCCCATTTTTTTTAACTTCTAATGATAGGATAGTGGTTATTGCCTTTACTGTGTACATTTAACCTATATCATCTTCCTGTTAAATATTTCCTAATACTAATTTACTGCCTGCATTGTTCACATCGAGCCATTACCTTGGCAGGTTCACTTACCATCTGTGAGGAAACTGCAGGTGAAATTTGTTTGCAATATTATTCAGTTATGTTCAAAATATCCTTAAAGTACTTGGGAAAAAAAGCCCTTCTGAAAATGAAGCTTTATGAGTAAAATCAAGTAAAGTGTAGTAGTTGGAGAGATCTTTAGAACTTTTTAGAATTTAATGAAATAGTTGATACTCATCTTAGAGAGGTGCTTCAGAGATGTTAAAGAAACACAAGTAAAATGAATTTTAACTGATGGAAAGTTACCATGAAACTAAAGTAAATGCAGGGTTCTTATTTTTTTTCTGGGCCCTGCCTCCACTCCACCCCAACCTCTATCTACGTTTTGAGCCACAAGGAAGGAACAAACTCTCTTCACAGATCTTGAAAAACCGAGGTAGAAATTACAGACAACGGCTCCTAGAACCGAGAAGTACAGGCATCGGGTAGAATTGAAACCTGCCTCTGGAAAGGCCGAGATGCTCATCAGAACCCTTCCGCATGGACTGTCTGTATTCAAATAAGGTTAAAGACGCAGTTAGCACAGTCATCTATGAGTATCTCCCTTGCTTCCTTCCCCCTTCCTTCTCCCCATCTATAAAGATAACATTTTAAAAATTCTGACCTGAAGATGTTGTTGAAAAATGTCTCCAGTTCCAGAGGGAATTCTACTAAAAGCGTCAATCACGCTATTGGAGTTCGGATGGTCTGGAGCGAAGAACTTTAAACCTCCTGAAATACATGATTCAGATGTGAAGTATTTAAAATGAATAAAATTGAACACAAAATAAAATGTCTTTTCCAACAAACTTCCTTTGCATTCGAGTGTTAGTTTGGGGAAGCAGGAGCGGTGCTTGACTTTCTGCGCATGACACCCCATGTGATGCGTGGTAGTGGCCCACAGGGTGGTTTTGTCTGTTCTGGTCATGGCTGTATGTCAGAGCCTAGAATTCTGTCCAGTACTTAAGAACTCATTAAATATTTATTGAAGTCTTGTGATTAGGAGAATTCCTAGATAATTTAGGTGAATAACTATCTACTTACATTGCTATGTATTTACATTTACATTCTGAAAAAAAAACACTTTTCAAAAATAACTCATAGATACCTAACTTTCACTTTTCAAATCAGCATACCTAGTTTTTTTAATTGAATATAAGGAATATAAGATGAAATTATTCTGTACCTGATTTTTATTTTTATGCTAGAGGTCATGTGTGTCTATTGAAGGGAGGAGAGAGTGAAAAACAAATTAAAAGAGAGAGAAAACACCCCCAATGGGGCCTGTTCATGCCACAATAATTTTTCCTACAATTCTCCATCCTGTCGGCATGCCAGGCACATGCACCCATACCCAGTATAAAGTTGATGGGGTTAGGAGTTGAACCCTGTTCAACCATGTAGGATTCAGTATCTTCTAACTGCGGTACTATGGGCTAGCCCTATGCCTTATTTATAGCAATAATAATAATTATAAAAGTACTATCTTGCAATACTATGTGTGTCTTTATCATAGATGTTAGTGCATTTAATCTTTTTTTTTTTTAAGAGAGATTTTTGCTATAGCTCACATGCACTGGCCAGAGAGACAGAAAGTAAGAAATCACCCCCCAGGTGGGATGGCCACACTGCAATCCCTTCTCATCTATTCTCTTGGGATTTTTGGCATGCATGCACACATGCCCACCATGTTTTAAGTCACCAGGTCTAGGACTTGAACCATGGTCAACTATGTGGGGTCCAGTGATATAACCATTACACCATCTGCTGTTCCCAGTGCATTTAAAGCTTAAACACATTTTTTAGTTCCATGATTATACATGCTCAGGCTGGTTTAACAAAGAAATGATAAGATTATTTTCATTGGATATATTCAATTAGGACCTTCTAGGGAAAAAAAAATTACAGATTTCAGCAATGATTTGTATATGTGTGTTTTTAAGAAAACAATTACTGGGGAACCAGTAGATGACATAATGGTTATATTGCTGGACTCCTACATGGTCAACCATGGTTCAAGTCCCAGACCTGCAGCTTCAAATTCACGCCAGGTACATGTGTGTGCATGCCCAAAATCCCAAGAGGAGAATGGAGAAGAAGGGATTGCAGCATGGCCATCCTCCTGGGGGGGAGGGGTGATTTCTCGCTTTCTGTCTCTTTCTCTCTGTCTTTCTGGTGAGCCCATGTGCCCTACAGCAAAATATCTCTCTATATAAAAAAAAAAAGAGAGAGAGAGAGAGAACGATATCTATTGGGCTGTTGGGGAAGTCATGATGCATTTTTTTTCATGGATAACCAGAAAAATAGTCAAGACTTTTTCAACAATCCAATAATTTTTCAATGAAGCCATAATCTGAGATTTGTGGTTATGCTTTAAATATTTAAGGTAAAAGACTCAAAAGATAAGTTTTGAGAACTATGTTACCCGTAAGATGTGACAATTCCTCCAGGCTTTCAGCTGCAGAGGGGCCCATGGCGATGGAGTGGATAGTGGAACCACTGCTGAGCACAGTGAGTAAGCAGTGGCCAACATGCTCGTCCTCTCCCCCAGTCACTAACACCATTACAGAGCCGTCAGCTTTCCCGTTCAACTTCTCAACCACCTGAACACAGAGCACCAGTCATTTGCAGGAAATGCAGTTCAAAGTGTCCTAGTCACTCTCATTCCAAACTCCCCACCTGAAGCATTTGTTCTTCAAGGTCCTCTGTAGCTCCCCACACCTCTGTCCATCCCCTTTCAGTCTTCACCATCCCCCTTCACAGCTCCTGTCCCTCTGCATGCCATTGCTGGTTTGCTTGTGGGCAGGGACTTTTCCATGATGTGCCCATAGTTTAGAAAGATGCCCATCAGAGTGGATATGGTGTACATTACCGTGTGAGAGCCTTGCCTCTGAGATCCAGCCACTGACCAATAAGAGGAACTGGACTGGTGATTCTTAGCCCTGGCTACACATCAGAATCAGATGAGGGAGCTTTAAAAAAACATCTAGGCCAGACCATACCCCAGCTCAATTAAATCAGAATCATTGGGGAGAGTCAGGCATCAGTAGGTTTTTTAATCCCCTGATGATTTCAATGGGCAGCTAGGGTTGAAACACACCTCTGGCTTTAATTGACTTTCATATGCTTGAGGTCTAGTAAGACTTAAGGCAAAAGCCAGATATGCTGATTTTAACTAGAAAGTCCAAAGATATCAATGGCCACAGCTGGGACAGTCCCAGGATGGATTGGGACAGTTTAGAAAGTCCCCAAATGATGGATAAGTCCCCCAGCTTTGGCCACTGTGTGCATTTATTTATTCCTTCCTTCAGCAAGCATTTATAAGCAACTATTACATGCCAGGTTCTTTGCTAGGCACAGGCCATACTATGAAGAACAAGACAGGGTCCCTGAGTTTGAAGAGAATCCACCATTCCTGCCCCAAGCGGAGGGAGTTCTGACCACACTGTAACAGATTGCGTCTCGTTGGAGGCAACCTCATACAAAACGGGAGGAACGTGACAGTGATCCACGTCTGTGAATGCTCTGCTGTACCTCAAATCCTTTCTTCAGCCCTGAGCAGACACTGGTTTCTGCTTCAGTTGACACAGTGGTGGGCAGATATGAAACTAGCAGTTTTCGGTCATCTTCGCTGTTTATTTGGTATAGCTGCGATCTGATTTCTCCTTTACTATTGAAACTGACAATGCCTACAAAGGTATGAATTTCAACAATCTCCATCAGGTAAAATTCAGCCGCTTGTTGAAGTCGAAGGAGTCTATCAGCCTATGTCCCCAAAGGAAATAAACAAAAACAGGTAGCAACATTTGGTTTATAGACACAAGTGTGACTACTTAACTCCTCTAGCAAATAACTATAATTCTTTTTTCTTTTTTTTTAAGAGAGATTTTTTGCTATAGGGCATGTGCACTTGACGCAGACAGAGAGACAGAGAGAAAGCGAGCAATCACCCACTGGGATTTTGGGCATGCACACACACATGTTCAGCGTGAGTTTTAAGCCACTGGGTCCAGAACTCGAACCACAGTTGACTATGTGGGAGTCCAGTGATGTAATCATCTGCTGGTCCCCTCTGCTAATTCTTTAGAGACATCAGATGACTATTTTCAGTTATGAAGAATGACATTATGCTAGAGTACTGTTTGGTTAATTGCAGGCTCAAAAATATGCACTTTTGGGGGAAGGAGAAGTGGTTTGGAACTCTGCCCCAAGCAAGCCTTTCATAATTAAGAACACATATCACCACTATTTCACTCTTACCCAGAATTTAAAAATCCATGAAACTAATTTGAGACTAGGTTTGTAACTGCTTCCTTTAAAATTCAGTTTGTGTAAGAAGAAACATTGCAAAGAGACCTCATGGTAGAGAGGAACAGCAGTCAGAGGACCCAGGATCTGTCCCGGGACTACCTTCTGCTGGCCTCTGTGGTCCTCTTAGATGGGGTACTTCATCTGTAAAGTGGGGATAATAATATCTTCCTTCCTCACTGAAACTGAACTGCGAGGATTAGCTGAGTATTTGACAGTTACACCATGAGGTATTAGCCAAGTATAACACAATATTAGTGCTCAGTTTGGGGCGGGTGAGTTTACTGATTAATTCCTTAGGGTCCCTTGTTTTGAATGCTGTGGGAGGAGAGAAACGAGCAGCAGCTGCACTTCAGTGACTCCCTGTTCAGGGACTGTGACCTCTGTCTCCAGCCCAGATGTCTTCCCTCATGGCCAAACCCACTGTGAATTTCTTAGGAAACAACTACTGATTTAATGTCCCACAGCTAAAACACACTTTAAATTCGTTGGCTTTAAATAGTTTAGGATATGGGGGCCATCATGTTTCTGTTGCAACTAGTCAACTCCCCTACTGTAGCACTGAAGTGGCCGTAGATAATCTGTAAACAAAGAAAGCCTCTGTGTACCAATAAACACTGACATTTGCACTTCATATGATTTTCATATGTCATGCTGTATTATTCTCTTGACTTGCTTTCTTAACCATTTAAAATGTAAACCCAATCTTAGCTTATGAGGTATGCAAAATCAGGTAATGGGTCATGGTTTGCTGACCCTTGGCATAGAAAAAAGTTAAAAACCAGTAAAAAAAAAAAAAAAAAAAGGTTGGGAAGTGATAAATGTTGAACATTCAATATATCTGTTTTACTACATTTTATTTAAGTGTACATTTACATAGTTTAATTTTTAATGATAACTGTGTTCGGTAAATGGCTTGCAATTTTCTTAAAACATTTAAGAGTTGACTGTCATGAAAGCAAGTATTATTGTTCCTATTCTATAGATGAGAAAATTGCTGCAGAGGGGGCTTCTTGCTGTTCATTGCACAGACAGTAAGCAAATGAGCCAGGACATAAAGCACTTCTGCTTGACCCAGAGATTGTCTTTAATCACTCTCTAAGACCCAGCGTTTTCGAGAGTGGACTTCTGGAGTCTGTTAGATCACCAGGTGACTGAGAGAGAGTCTTCTGTATACAATGATGTGGAAAATATAAACATGATGGATACGCATGATCACAGCAAATTACAGTCTACTGCCTCCATCAAGATGCTTACCAGAATGTGGCCACACAGGACCTTCACATTATAAGTCAGAGTTTTGGAAAAGAGGCTTGGCTGGAAATTCATTGCAAAAATTATGCTTAGGAATTATCTGTGGATTTCATTTAATTTATCTCAACTTCTGGGCCATATTCTGAATATATTCTTCTTATTCCCAAGAAAATAAGATGTCTTTGATTATTCCAAACATTCTCCCCCCCCCGCCTTCTACCTCCACCTTTTCCCCCAAAAGTAAGAAGAATAAAAAAGCTGACAGGAAAAACATGATAAATGGGGGACAGGTGGTGGTGCAGTGGTTGTGCAACCAGACTAATGCAGGAAAGAGCCTAGGTTTGCATTCCAAGACCTCCCTGAGTACATTAGGCATGTACGTGCCTGTGATCTGTGCTGGCCGAGACTCGGGATGGAGTATGGCATGAAGACCTTGTCAGAGGTGACTGTCTCTCACTCTCTCTCTGTCTCATGGAAGAAATAAATAAGTAAACATAAAAAAAAAAGAAGTTAAATGGTTCATGGTTATTTTGGTTTAGAATGTTACCTCCGCCATCTTGGTGGACACATCCAACACTAAACAGACCACTTTGAGGCCAGCCTGTATGAGCGAGAATATGGGAGGAGGTGGAAGCTCAGTCCCATTCATGGGAAGGCTGTGATTAAAATCAGCCGAGTCTGTGATTACATCCCAAGCACTTCTGAGGCTGCACATTTGATTCTGTAGGTTTGGAGCTTCTTGGTTGTGGTTACTTGCATTACAGAATTCAACCACCTGGGAAAAGAAACAGAGTCTATCAGAGAATAAAAGTACTCATTTTGTACCAGACATGCCTCTCATCCTCAGTGCTTCAGTAATGTCCTTCTTTCCTTAAAGAAAGACAAATTTATAAATAAGCCTTGGCCCCCTTTGCTTGAAACATTAGTACCTTGCGGTATGAGAATAATTTCTATGGAACTTTATTTGTGTTTAGTTAACAGAGAGCAGATCATGTATACATATCTTAGTCTTAAAAAAACATATTTACATTCTTCCTTAGCATGATACTGCATTGAGAAACACTCCAGGAGACGTTATCTTGATTAGCCTATTCTTTAGAATATGACATGACCACCATACCTTTGTTTATTGATCAGTCAACATATATTGATCTAGCTCAAATATTGACCTCTGTGAGAATAGAATAAAGGAGGAAAACAAATCTACTTCCTGGCCTTTCCTCCAGCTTGATTTGGAAATATGAATATGATTAATTTAATCCTACTAGACCTATGTCAGCACCACTTGAAGGTAGATTCCTCAAGGCTTTGCAAAGTAATAAATCACCACCTATTCTCAGTAGCTTGGTTCCTACCAGGACTCGATACTTCCTGCTAACAGAGCCGTGGGAGCTTAGACCTAAAAGAATTCTCATAAACTCTCTAATCCTGTATCACATTTCACAGGAGAAGCTGAAGCTTTGGAAGGTTAATAACTGCTTAAGGACATGCATTTCTCAGTAGGGGAGGGGGGCAAAAGTAGAACTTGTTTTTGTTCTGTTTAGTTCTCTTCTCTATAGTTCATGACTATTATTAGGGGATTGTGAAACTTTCCTGATTGGATATTAACGAATTAGTCTTCCAAAGAATCAGAAAGATAGGGACCAGCAATTAGCGTAATGGCTATGTTGCTGGACTCCCACGTAGTAGACCGTGGTTCCAGTCCCAGACCCGTTGACTTAAAACTCACGCTGGGTATGTGTGCATGCGTGCCCAAGATCCCAAGAGGAGAAAGGAGGAGAAGGGATTGCGGTGTGGCCATCCCCCCGGGGGGTGATTTCTCGCTTTCTATCTCTCTGTCTCTCTCTGTCTGTCTGGCGAGCGCACGTGCCCTATAGCAAAAACCTCTTTAAAAAAATCAGAAAGATAGAACCTAGTCACATGGATAAAATACATCGATATAGGTCGACCTCATATATTAAAGCTTTAAATTAAAATCATAATGGGTGGGACAAGAAATCTAAAAAAATCACTTCATAGTTATAAAATGACTTCTAACCTTAACTAAAATCTGACTGAACAAAAAATTATCAAAAAAAAAATAATAAGCAAACAAAGGGATGTGGGCCCAGTCTCATGGCACAGTTGGTATATACCAAACTGCAGTGTTGGAAGTCACATGGCTGATGTGTTCAGATTTCTGGGTGGGCTTGAAAACAACTGGACACATGTGAATCACAGCACCAGGAGGTCCTGCTGAGGGTGCTTCTCTCTCTCCCTCGCACACACACACACTCTATGTCACGAACAAGATAAATAAATGCATCAACCTGAGGAGTGTGGAACTATGAAAACAGGCAGAACTCCACAGAGACATGTGCCTGCAGTACTCCCAGCTCCCTAAGGAGATGACCCAAAGGTGTGACTTTCAAGATTCTGTGAAGCTGGATAGATAGATAGGGTCCTGAAGGCTGATGCCAGAACAGCCCTGAACCACCTTATTCCTTTCTGATTCTAGGTTCTCAGAGCAGGTTTCTGGTGAGAATTTGGCTGTTTCCTGCTGCTTTATTCTAAGAGGAAATAAACTGACCAGAGGTGGTAAGTATGAGATCCCTGTGACAGTTAAGTATTCTTTAAATTTGTGTGAAAATGGCATTCTTGATGAATGCACTAGTATCTTGTCAGGCTTCAGAACCTGCAGAGATGAAGGTCAGTTGACTTCCCCTGGTGATACCTCACCTTTGTTTTTAAGGTGTTCTAGACTGTGCAAAAGATGGGAGGAGAATTAGGAAATGCGATTAAAACATAGAGTGATTTACTACCTCAAATAAGAGAAATATAATCATGCTCTATCACTCTCATTAACCCAATAATCTTTCTAATGAAAGGATACATGAATATCACCATGGTAGCAATTTATTTTGTGGTCTCGAGTTCTTTTGTTAAATCACCTTCTCAAGAAAGCAAATTATCTTTCCTAAAAGAATCTCTTTTTGGTGATCATCCTAAGGGCCTTAATTTTTTACACCTGTAGAATTAAGAACTAGATGAACTCTAAAGTTCCCCAAACTCTAAAGTGTATGAAATCTTAATTGTTTTATAGTTCAAAGACTTGAAAGAGATTAGTCTGTCTTGGGGGAAAAATGGAATCTTAAAGCCATTTGTCATTCCAAGGTCATACTTACAGAAGACAAGCTTTGCATGAACATGATTGATGCAGTTGCATTTTGGTCACTATCATAGATAAATGTGCATCCTTCCTGGAAAAGTTTACTAATAATACAGTTTTCTTGCGGGCAAAGACCTTTTTCACACACGAAAATTCCTGTGATATCAGATGAACACCTAAAAATGGAAAGAAAAACTGGGAATTGGGTCTATTTGTGAAATACTTGCATTTCCTCTAGAGTAAGTTATATAATTATTTGATTCAAGGATTGTGGCTTGCTAAATACACATAAAACATTTAATATTTGCTCTAATCAAGAAGTTTATTGTTTATAAATACACTTGACAAAGCCTTTGATCTTGGCAAGAGGTTCTGTATTGCCAAAGGCTTTAACAACTAAGCAGGGTCAAAGCAAAGGATAGCATGAACTGCAGACTAGCCTTGGAAGGCCCCAGGAGGCACATGAGAGGCAGCGTTCCCAGTTATTGCTGAGTCTTTTGAACTCGTTTGCACTGGATATCAGGGAGAGAATAAACATATAATGGTGATATTTAAGAGGGTTCATTCCTAACAAGTGATCCTAAATGTTGTCAGTGGGTGTGAAAAAACAGTGTTACTTTAGGAAAGAAAGAAATTAATACCTACCAAAATTACAGTTGAGGGTACCATTTGACCTAGTAATTCCTGGAAGAATTCAGTAGATATATAATACATGAGATATATGCATACATGAGAAGTGACATATGTATAAAGTTGTGACCTGTAGTATTACTGATAATATGAAAAGATTGGGAATAAACTGTATATCCAAAAAGAGAGTACTGGTTGAATAAATTATGGTACGTCCACAAAATGGAAAACTCTGCAATTTTTTTTTTAAAGTGAGGAAAAATATATATTTCTGTGAATTTTCCTGAGAGAATACTGAGAAAATAAACCAAAAAATGACTCAAAAAGTTTATCTCAAGGTGATGAAAGGGAATGCCAAAGATAGCATGGGAGCAAGATAGCTAAGTGTATAAGAATATAAATTTTTATTTTATCTGAAGCATATATTTACCAATTTTTCTTTCTCTCTCTTTCTTTCTTCTTTTGTAAAATTTTTTTTTCCTATAGGGTGTATGTGCTTGCAGGAGAGAGACAGAGAGGGAAAGTGAGAAATCACCTCTTGGGTGAATGACCATGGAACAATTCCTTCTCCAGTCTCCTCTCACGATTGTGGGCATGCATGCATATGCACCCAGTGTGATTTTTGAGTCACAGTGTAGAGGACTTTAACCATAGATGTGGCCATGTGGGATCCATTGCTTTAATCTCCATGCTACCTGATGGTCCAGTCTTTAATCATTATTTTTAATACCATGCAATTTAGAAACTGAATGAAAGAATTTTATGGGAATAAGTTTTTGCTGTCATCATAAACAATTTTAGAGTCAAATAAATAATAAATTACAAACATGAGAAAAAGTACCAACCTTGTTGCTTTAATTTGATTTTGTCCATCTATGTAGAAAGGTTTGTCATTGTTATATTCATCAAACACACCCCAACGCAGATGAGCCCACTCATGGACAAACACTCTGCCTGTGGAAAAGAGAGCATTTGCTTTTGAGCTCCTAGGAGCTCAGTGATGGGCCTTGCTTATCAGCAGAGATGTAACATCACTTGACTATGAACAGTTACCTAAAGAGTTAAAGTCCAATCCTCTCTCCTGCTTTCCTCCTCTTTACTTCTTTCTCACCTCCTACTCCACTCCCTGTCATCATAAAGGGGCAGTATGAAAATCCATTTGGTCCGGTAGATGCTAACCGGTGATTAGCTCGATGCATATCTATCTGAAGCTCGTGAAGATTCCCACATCCTCTCATTTCCCCAGTGAAGTTGTCAAACAGGTCTCTACTTAACTGCACATGGTTCAAGGAATGGGGAAAGCGAAAGAGGCATATTCAGACAAGCAAAGGAATCTTCCCTAATCTTCAGCATATGCCATCTGAGCATGCCTGAATTTTTTCTTACAGATTATTCTCTCTTGAACAGTTATTAAAACAGCAGGGCCAGGAAGGAGGTAATGAGCAAAATTGGAAACCATACAACCTCCTCTCCAGCTTGGATAGTACTTTGTTTCTACTTCATCCCTGTTTCTTCATGTTTTTATTTCTAACTCACAGCCTAGCACCCTCCATATTTAGTATCAAATCCTCTATCTTCTACTTCTCTAAACCTTGCACTTCCTTCAAAGTTCAGATCAAACTAACTTTCTTTTTTTTTTTTTTTGGAGAGGTTTTTGCTATAGGGCCTGTGCACTCGCCAGAGAGACAGAAAGACAGAAAGCGAGAAATCACCCCCCAGGGGGGATGGCCACGCTGCAACCCCTTCTCCTCCATTCTCCTCCTAGGATCTTGGGCACGCACGCACACGCACCCGGTGCGAGTTTTAAGACACCGAGTCCAGGACGCGAACCATGGTCGACTACGTGGGAGTCCAGAGACATAGCCATTACGCTAACTGCTGATCCCGTAGATCAAACTAACTTTCTGATAGGAGCTTTCCAGAGGAACTCCCTCCTAAATCATACATTTAATTTTTTTTTTTTTTTCTCTAAGTTATTTTAGGTTCTGGGAACTCAGGAGGTATTTGCTGAGTTGACTCAGGCTGTGGCATATTGTGTAATTTTGGCTCTTGGAACAAAGAAAGGGAGGGGAACAATCTAGGCTAAATGTGCTCAGGAAAAGTTTGTGCCTACTCATGGAATATAGAAATGCTGATGAAGTCACAGGTTTGTGCAGAGATTATCAGCACCTCATGGTTACCAGGGGGAAAAATGTTCCACTATCTGCTAACTACATAGATGATAACAAAATCATAGATTTAAATGAGGAAAAATTAAAATACCATTTGAAAGGCACTACTGTATGTTAAATCAAAATTTTAAAGTTAAGATGGGGATAGTCATCCCTGGAGCAGCTGATCTTTTCTGCTGTAGGCCACTCATCCCAATGGCTATTGTTTGATTGATCCCACTCACCTCGTGATCCGTAGCCAGCTGTTAAGTTATCGTTTAGTAGGAAGTTGGGCGTAAAGTGAATGTATTTCCCCTCTTCTCCACACCCTCTGTATTGTAGGGTGTAAGGATCATCTCCATGGCCTCCATACCAGTCAGTCACTAAGATATTTGCCTAAATCAAAAGACATGCCTTGTAATACTCTCTAGCTCAACTGGGATGTTGGCGACACAATGTATACATTGGTTAAAGCACGTTGAACTCTATAGTTAAGATGTAGGCATTTTACTGCATGTAATTACTCCCCAATTTAAAAACAGATTTTAACAATACCCACCTTGGGGGCCAGCAGGTGATGTAGCAGTTAAGGTGCTGGACTCATACATGGTTTGAATCCTGGACCTGGAAGCCTGAGACATGCTGGGCATGTGTGAGTGCGTGCCCCAAATCCCAGGAGGAGAATGGAGGAGAAGGGATTGTGGCATGGCCATCGCCCCCCGGAGGGGAGATTTCTCACTTTCCCTTTCCCTGCCTCCCTTTCTCTCTTTCTCTCTTCCTGGTGAGCATACACATTCCCTCTCTTTCTCTCTTCCTGGTGAGCATACACACCCTATGGCAAAAACCAAAAAAAAAGAAAACCCCACCTTGTAGATGGAGTTTAAAATACACTCAAGGCTAGATGCTGACAAAAATTACTTGTATAATAATTAGCATTTGTTTTTAGAAATAAGAATTCAAGTCAAGGGGATTACAAAGCAGTGCATACAAAAAAGGCAAAAGAGAGCATGTGCCCTCGGAAAGTTCCACTTGGGCAAAACCTCACTCCTGTGTCTGGAAATTTGTCCTGAAGCAAAAAGGAAAGAGTACTCTGCATGAGATTGGGGTCACACTATACCTTGTAGACTACAGTCATTAAGCTCTTAAACTACCTTTCCTAACTTTTCCCTCCCCCCTCTGATTCCTACCTACATCAGACTGTAGATTCACAAGGGTAGGAACTACATTGCCTGTCCTGCGTCTTCTCCAGAGTCCAGCCCCTGTACTTAAAGATTATTCACTGAGTGTTGGCTTATTGACATTGGGGGTTAAAGGTCTGGGTCTCCAACAGCGATATGAACAGGTTCAGTGACTATTTTTTCCTTTGATCTTTTTGTTCAGTCTTATTCTCACTTTTTTTTTTTTTTTTTTTTACTTATTCATTTTCCATTTATTAGGACCAGGAGTACTACTTTTGGCAACCTGGTTTTGGTATTGGTTTTCTCTAACACGTCTTCGATCTTCTGAAGGCCAAATTCATTACTGCAACTCTACGGACAGTTAGAGACAGCATAGCTTAGTGCAAAGACCGTGGGCTAGGAATCCGTAGACATTGAAATTGTGCCCCTGTAATTTACTAGCTGCTTGACTTGGGGAAAAGTCCATGTCTTATTTGAGCCTCAGTTTCCTAATGTGTGGTAACAGCAACTGAATTTAGGATATATACAAATTAAGCGATATATATGAAATGCCTGGCACTTAGTTGAAACTTAAACAATAACTTTCTTCCCAATTTATGCCAGTTCCCCTACCTATCTTATTTCCATGAGCAAGCCTTGTCAAACGCTTTCATCTGGTTATAAATCAACTGCTTTTAAGAGCGTCTTTAGCTTCTTCAGGACACTGGGATACCTATCTAGATTGCTATGTATATTCGATTTGTAAGAGAATAACGTAAAAGGTGTGCTAAGAATTTTTTTGTTAATCTTAGGAAATTTCATACTAAATGATAAAAATAAAGAAAGGAGGAAGCTGGATCACATGTCTGAGTGGATCTGTTAGAGCCGTACTTACAAACGCATTCCATTGTTGACGCCCTGAGCTGGTTCTTCTCAATGCCTCCGCTCTCGTCCCTTCTGGTAGCCGTGATAGGCTCTTGTCACAGTGATGTCAGTCACTTGCCAGACTTATCTAACATTTGTTTATAGTGTGCATACCAGTACACACCACACATCCTGGGTGCTTCACCACAATCCCCAACTTCTGAGAGTCCCCAAGGTTAAATCCTTGTTTGGAAAAGAAAAGGTAGCCACTCTCGCACCCACCCCCACCCACATTCTTCTTGTCTTCCTTCTTATCTCCTATTCTCCTAAAAGAGCAGCATCTGGACTTGAGCTACTGTGAAATTCTTCGTATTTACACCACCGCATCAGAAGAAGTCATATTTGTACATGCGTAGGTGGCTTAGGTTTGTCTGGACATGCATATTTATTGCCCCTGACAGGATGGGAATGAAGACAGTCATAACTGAACTGGTTCCCTTCACAGCTCATCCACAGATAGAGCTAGTTCTGGGTTCTCAACCAAACATTTCAGAAAGAGCTTTGTAAGTTATAAAATAAAGAGATTTTCTGAGTTCTGTTTGGGCAATAGCATTTTGCTTAACTCATCTCGAATTAAGATCATTTAACAAAATCCTGAATTCTTACCTTTTCATATGATTCTTGTTTTACTTTGCTGTAATTATTAGCTTTCCATGTGGAAGGTATTAAAATCTTTATATTTCTAAAAAACACTCTTCTTTTGGTGGCATTGAATAGGTAAAATGAAGCTTCAGTTATCATTTCCTATAACCAAACAAAAATAAGTATATTTTATCAGTTAAAAATCCTGTATGTTCTGGTTTTCTAGTTGTACTTAAATAAACAGTAATAGCTATTGAAAATATTTTTGAGGCACTTATTTCTTTTAGGGAAAGCATTGTATTTTAGAAAAACTTAGAAACCAAGTTTAAAAAAATTTTTTCAAATGGTTATCAGAAGGACATTTTAGGACACTAACTACGTATCTGAGCTGGCCTTCATAACTTCCCCAGTTTCTGAAAGGCTTTTGAGATTTTACCAAACAAAGCCTTTTCATGTCATACCTGTGGGCATGCTCAAGACCATACCTTCTGACAATAATGATTTCACTAAAGCAATACCAAAGGAAGGTTCTGGAGTAATACAGCTATGATCCTCCCTTGCCATTTTAAAGTCACAATAGTTGATTTCCTTACAGAACATTTAAGTGACAAGAAATAATTTTGCTTTTTGACATGTGACACAGACTCTCACCCTTTCTCTCTGAGAATGTGTACCCTCAGGATGGAATGCAACACGATTTTAATAAGCACTAGTATGTTTATTCATCAAACATCCAGTCTTTGTTGCCACATGAGTTGTTGTTTTACTAAAGTTGCTGGCCTCATAGAAGTCATGTAGGAAAACAGAAAAGCTAAAATTAGTACTTACCAACAACAATACCAAAAAAGAAGGCTTGATCAACACTCTGAGCTGAGACTTTACAGATTTCGACAAACTAACTTGGCCATAATCATAACTTTTGATGCTATTTTAAGTAGTTCTCTCTACTGCTTGAGCTTGAATACAAACCAGGCAAAGATGTTGGTTTTTAACAGAAGGCTACAAGTTTGATCTAATGAAATAGCGATATTGATTTCATAGTTGCCACTCACCTTAATGTTTGGAATGAGATTGCGATCCTCAGGAACCTGAGGATTAATTGCAACAAGTAAGTCATCATATCCATTGTCTTGTAGTTGTACTCCGGCTCCCAGGCGTAGGAGCTCTGGACTCAGGGCTACCAGGAGAATCACAGAGTGCAGGCTGTAAACAGGACCTGCATTATCCCTGTGGGTCATGTTGCAGAGATGCCTCCAGTTCACTCACACTGGACCTGCTGGGAACATTGTACCAGGTTGTCAATGCAGAAGCAGATGCTTTCTTCCTGAACTTAGAAGGTCTTAGACTGAGTGATGAAGGAGGTGCCTCTTTGAAAACTCTGGGGTGGATCTGTCTGAGATCTGCCTCTACAAGCCCTTTTTCTCCAGGCAATGCCACACTTGCCTGTTCTGTGGCTGAGCTTCCTCCTGAATCATAGTTGGGCAAGAGACCTCCTGTCCTGTACTCATTTTATATCTTCTCAGAAGGAAGAGGGAATAAGACAAGAGGAGGATAAAAGCAGGAGACAGACTGGCTGTGCTGGAAATCAGTGTCTGGATTGTTCTGTCTGCAATACAGAAATCTATAGAGATTTTTCTTTCCTTTGTCCTTGACAACCTCCTCTATCAGTCTGTGCAACTCCTTCCCTTCTGTAGTCAAGTACTTTTTGGTTTGTTGTAAGATTCCTTTGCTTGCTTATTTTGAAGATTTGCAAAGCCATCCTGCAGCCCTGTTCCTAGAGCCCTGGGTCAGCTAGACTGGGCAATCTCTCAGCTGATAGCGAGAGAAAGGTATCAGATATCCCAGGCATGGCCAAGAACCAGGAACTGGGATGCCAGTCCAGGGCACAAAGGCCCTCTCTTTGTCCTCACTGCCTTTTCTCTCTACCCCAGGGAGAAGAAAAAATTTCTCTTTCAGTGTCTCTCTCCTGAGGGGATGGGTCTGCTCATTTTCTATTTCTCCAGTAACTAGGATCTAGTATAAAGTAGGCTTCACAAATACAATGAGGGAATCTTTCAAAAGTTCATGCAAAATGCATGTTATCATTTGCACTAAACTCAATTTAATCCCATTTTCAATTGATATTTTGAAGTACCTTCATATATTAGGACTGATTAATAATATCTTATAATTATATAATTCTTTAAAGTTTACAAGTTAACTCATTTAAATATCAATTCTCTGATTCACATAATTTTTACTACCATGTTTCAAAGCAGGTTACAGAGGCTCAAATGATAGAAATTAGCCAAAGGAGGAAAAAAAAAACTAATGCTTCAGTGACAAGTTTTATTATGAGTATTTTATGGGTGATAAAACTAAGGCTAAGAAAACTAAATAAGTTGTTCATGGTTGGAAATATCATAGTGCTGGAATGAAACCAATGGACTCCAGATTCCATTATTTTTCATGATACTATTTTCCCTCAGTTTCCAAATTTTTCTGGGATCACTCTTTCTCTCCCATCTCTGTGTATAAGAACTTCACATTCAGTGACAGTTATTGTGAAACTAAGCCTAAAACTGAAGGAAAAGGTATACTGGGTTAGGGTCCACAGCAAGCACGTGTTGAGACTTTGATCCTGTGGACACTCCTCCTTGCTGTGGTCCCATTTCTGAGGGGTGCTAGGGAGCGGAGGGAAGGACTTACTCCTCTCCTCAACGGGGATTTCACCAACACTAAGTCTTCTTTCTACTCCCCTGGCCATCCTCAGGGTCAGTGTAATGTCATTCCTCCTCCTTCTAAGGTTGGACCCTCCAGACCCAGGGCTTTGGGCCTGTTCTTGCCCTAGCAAAAAATTCACAATGATAGGCAATATTTAACCAGCACTTACCATGCAGCACTTTACTTCATTATAATCCTCCTTTTATGAAGTATTATTACAGTCTTCATTTTGCAAATGAGAAGCTGAGACTTAAACAGGTCCTATAAAATGGAGAAAATAGTAATCTCTACCTCATGGGTTTGTTAAAGAAGTATAATTAATAGTTCAAGGGCTAAGAATATTACTGAGCATATCATAAAAAACACATAACACATGTCATTATTACTACCATCATATAACCCTTTTTTTCCTTCCTCTCACAAGTATTTCTTGCTCATTACTCAATGCACTGTGATAGGTACTGGGAATATCAGTGAACAAGGTTCAATTCCTGTCCCCAAGAATCTCACAGCCTAACAGGGATGATGATTCGTTATGAAAGGATACGCACTGGAGGGAACTGCAGTCCATTGGGGAACATCCAAACCAGGCTCCGGAGGAGACTGCAGGGAAGATTCTACAAAGATAGGGTCATCTATGTTGAGACAAAAAGGATGAGTGGGAGCTAACCAAGATGGAGTGGATGAGGGCAGGAAGGAGGCTGAAGAACAAAAGCCTGGAGGTGAAGGACTACAAGCCCGGAGAACCAAGAGCTGAAGCATAAGAGCTCCGATGCTGAGGAACCCTGAGGGGAATTTTCCCCTTGCTGTCCCTCCACTTGGAACCTCTTCTTCTCTTGCTTCTTTTCCCTTCAATTCCAGCTCTGTCCCGAACAGCTGGCCTGAGCTCCTTCTCTGTCAGATCCCTCTCTGGCATGCTTCTAAAATATCACATAACTGTCCGTTAAAGCATGGTCATGGTCACAAAGTCACAGCTATCAATACATTCTGTCATTGACTTTCAGCTTCCAGCCGTAGACTACGTGAGAGAAGGAACCGTGTCTACTTTTCTTCAGTGTTTCCTAAGCATCTAGCTCGGTAAACTCTCTGTTGAATGAAGGAATAAATGGAGTCAGGAGAAGGAAATAAAGGCCAGATCACCGAAGAGGCCTGGTTTTAGTTTGAAAATGTTTCCATCTCCCAGCTTTGTTCCCTACAAGGCATCTCTTCTGCTCTAGAGCTTCCTCTTGCCAGCCGGGGCTATCAGGATTCCCTGGGTATGTGGGGAAAATGGAAAGTCACGGGCCAAAGGTGCTCTCTCGGCAGCTCAGCTCAGCCACCTTGTCTTCTCAAGGCGATTCCTAGTTATGGTTTTTTCCGTGCACGCACACTATGTCTTTGGAGTGGAAGGCCAGAGGTGTGGCTGCTCCACAGGCTTTGCCTGTAATCGTGACTCATTAAGCAGAACAATATGCTTCGTTTCAACCTTCCTTGGCAGCTTATTTTCTTATGCCAATCTCTTGGGATTTTAAGAAAAAAAAATTCTCACCAGCAAAGAAATATGCTCAAAAATTAAACTTGTAAGCACACTGTAAAAGTAGCTTTTTTCCACCAGTCAGGGAAGAGTTCCTTGTGGCTACCATATATACTTACAAAGGGGACAACTGAGGACTGACATTCAACCCTCTCCACTTGTTTTTATCAAATTACCATCACTCCTTTAGGATGTAGGGGTGGATAATACAGACTGGCATGTGCCTGCTGTCTACCCTCACCTGGGTTAAAACTTGAACGGCACAGCCAGGCTGTGCTTAGTCTTGGCCGAGAATCTAGGTATGACATCATTTCTATCTGCCCTTTTGCCTCTGGATTCTGGAACCCAGTCGCTAGGTCTGGTCTCTTGATTAGATTCCACATTCATCATTTGTCCCTTAGAAGACTCTCGGTTGCCAACTGTGGGAATTTGGGAATTCTGTTCATTCCTGAACACCTTTTCTCACCACCTTTTTTCCATCTATGTTCCGGAACCCTTTTTACTATCAGCAACCAGCCCTGGAGCCAAGCCAACTGATCTTTTTGTACTGCCTTCTCTCACCAGGCTGACCCTACAGGTGACAAAACTAAAAAGCTGAGAAAACTAACTTCACCGAATTAACAGAAAGTCACTCCTGAGCAGAGCCTTGTCCTCTGATAAAGTGTCATTCAGTCATCAAAATGCTCAATCTGTCCTTTCATTAAAAAAAGTGTTACTAGTCACATCCACAGATTTTATGATATCTCAGAAGTAAGATATACCTGAAGGGAAGAAAAATAAGAACATAATTGTGTTTATTTCCTTGTTACATAAATTCTAGGAATCTGCTCTGTTTTTATCTCCTGTCAAGAAAACACGTTATTCAGTTTTAGCAACTGAAGAATCTAAAGCACATCTTTGTTCATTGTCTCGAATCGGCAGTTTGCTTGGTCCCAGAAGGGCCTGTCTATTTCTTTTTATCGAGTCTGCTGGTACAGACTCATTTCATTCATGGCTACAGTGAATAAAATGTCCAGTCGATATCAGAGTAGTCAGAAGATTGGACATCTTGAGGCCTCATACAAAGTTTTAGGTTATGTCCTTCCAGGCTTTTGTTTTAGCAATCCCATTTTTAAAAAGAAATTATAGTCCACTGTGTGTTTGGGCTACAAAGCTTGTGGGCCAGTTTAGTTTATCTGATCTTATGAACTAAATAAAAATGGAGATGAGACAATTTGTGAAGACTAAGAATTGTTTTTAAAAAACAGAGTTTGCTAAGATGTACATTTCATATCTCCCGTATCCTATTTTTTTTCTTTTTTCCTTTTCTTATTTTTCAATGAGAGGAGGAAGGGGCCAGGGGGAGGAGACAGATATTTTTGATAGGGTTTCCCCATCCTGAAACCCCCTGCTCCAGCCTCCCAGTGAGCTAGGATCACAGGTGCACATTGCTGCATCTGGACTCCAGCGTGGCCAAGCGCATCCTACCACCTGCACCGCTGCAGCTGGGCCTACTGTTAATGACAACCCAACAAAGTAAACAGGAGAAAGGGTATGAGATATCTCTCATGTGCAAAACAGACATAAAACTGCTTTTTATAAAATATTGTTATATCTATTAGGTACCAGATAAAATATAACATCATGTGGAGTAAGGATATCATCATTATGACTATTGTTATGTGTCAGAGTAGAATAAATGAGAAAGCAGATATGTGAGGGAATCTTTTAAGAGATAAAAAACACCCTCAGGAAGCTCAGAAAATGGTACACGGAAATGGAAACACAAGATCCTGACTCCATTCTTTCCTAGTATCCCCTTTTCTTTCCTTCCTGCTCTGACTCCAGCCTCAATATGCCACTGAGACCCTAGGGCTCTGCTGCCCCCAACTCCACAGAGAAGGTTCTCCTTCCTCTCCGCGTGTTGCTCCTAATAAGCCATTTCACCCACCAGCCTTGCCAAGAACAGGAAGCAACTCCAATCAGTTGAAAGATCTAGGAACTTGGGGATTAGAGCTCCCTCTTCTGTCTTTTGGGTGCAGGTGTCTGGGGCTCTGGATTTCCAGATAAAATTCCCAGCACACAGAACTACTCAGAGAGACCCCTCTTCCACAGTGCACCAGAAGCTATTTAGAACAGAGCTTTCTAAATCGTATCGGACCTAAGAATCACATGTTCAAATACAGATTCTGATTCAGTGGGTCACAGCAAGACCAATTTTCCAAATGTCTATTAAGCTTCCATCAACTTATAAATATAAATTAATTTATGACTAATGCAGCCTTTGTTTTATAACTACTACTGGAAGATGAATTATGAATTAATAGGGAATTGCTCATTTCAGCTCAATCAATACCATCTTTAATGAGTGAGGACTATCCATAAAGAACCAAAAGATCATTATGGTAAACATTAATAATGTATATTAAACTCAATGTGATCGATATATAAAATACACATTGGAAGTTTCTTTGTGAAGCTGAGGTCCTTGGCAATACTTGGAGTAGCCCCTGTATCAGAAGGGTTCATAGGAAATATTCAGGGATTCTCTTACAGCCCTTGCACCAGAAAGAGGCAGTCTGTGTAGCCTTTGACATATTTTACATCCTATGGAAAAAGCCTGTGTTTTGTTCCAGACTCAAGAGGAAAACATTGAATGAAGGATGTGTTTTTATGGCCACTCCTTTATGCCATACTTTATCTTTATACATAGTTGGGTATCCTTTTACTTCTAGTCAAAACTATTATAACTAATAAAGGCAATTTAGAAAATAGCATCGATGTTTCTAAAAAGAGCTAATCCATGTTTGGAAACATGTACATGAAATGGTTTAATATGTAAACTACATAATAGATTGAGGAACAAATTTATATTATTTTCTGCCCTTAGACAGTATTTTGACCAAGTGATAGTCTCTTGCACACACACACACACACACACACACACACACACAAAAGATTTTGTTAAATTTAAGCTAGAAGAGAAAAAGTCTACTGGAAAACATCCATTCTAAGTAGACTATAGACTATTTTAATAAGGGAAAAAAAGAGAGAAAGAAAGCAAGCAAAGCTAATCATTTAATATGTTAAAGCTTTTCTTCTTTTAAAATTATTTAACTTTATTTATTCATTCATTTATTTCAGTTTGACCAGAGAGGGATAGAGTGAAAGAGAGAAAGAAAGCTTCCAGGTCCAGGACTTGAATGATAGTCAGCCATGTGGGAGTCTAGCACCCTTAACCACCAAGCCACCTGCTGGCCCCGTAAAGCTTTTCTTAAAATGGTACTAGACCATAAATGTTTTGACTCTGGCATTTTCCTAATTGTATCCTGCATTATTAAGCTTCTGTGTCCAAAAACCTACATCTTATTCCTATGAATATTTCTTCATATTTGGCACCTGGAGGTCCATCACATTCTGAAGTTTCTTTATATAGATTGGTAACTGTGAAATTAATTTCTGGTTATATTAGTAGGGTTTCAAAGAATAATAAAATAGTGCCTCTTCTCTTACTGCACACCATCTTTATGCCATGAGACTCAAATTGCTTACATTACATTCATAAAGTTTTTTTTTTTTTTTTGAGAGAGATTTTTGCTTTAGGGTGTGTGCGCTTTCCTGAGACAGAGAGGACAGAGATACAGAAAGCAAGAAACCACCTCAAGGGGGAGGGCCATGCCACAATCCCTTCTTCTCCTTTCTCCTCTTGGATTTTGGGCATGCACACACACACACCTAGAGAGAGTTTCAAGCCACCAGGTCCAGGACTTGAACCACAATTAACTAAGTAGGAGTCCAGTGCCTTCACTACACCATTGGCTGGCCCATTTATAAAGCCTTAATAGTTAACTAGAGACAAACTGAAATCTTTTTAAAAAGGAATTTCTTACTTTTGCAACATTTTTTCTTCATTTTCAAAGAAATGCTAATGTCCCAGATGATAGAATATTTAACTTAAAATATAAAGATAAACAGTGTTATTTTTAAAATGGCATTTCTGATTTCAAACACTGGCTATGTAATATAATGTATTAAATGTTTTGTACATGAGCTAATATCCTTGAGTGTAGACTTTGAACATTTGTTACAATGTGGTCTAAGTTTGAGAGTGTTTATTTAATTGGTTTAGCATTCTGGATTTTTGCAGGTTAAGTATTAATTTCTGGAATCATTTTTAGAGGGAAAAGTAGATTCGCATAAGCCATTAGTCTTTTTTCATTTTAATTTAATTTTTTACAAAATAAATAAAGGTTATGACTGAAGACTCTGACTTCTGTGGGAAATATCTGAATGAAAAGAAATAATCAGGGCTGGCCCCTGTAAAGCTGTGGTTAAGCCCTGTGTGCAGAAAGGTGGATCCCATGTGACTGACTGTGGTTTGAGTAGAGGAAGCTTAAGAAACACACCTGAGCATGTGCCTGCATGCCCCAAATCTTGATGGGATGGAGAAATGGAGGAAAGGAATTGTGACATGACCATGCCCTGCTGAGGGTGATCTCTCTCTCTCTCACAGGTGCACATGCCCTCTGGCAACAACAACAACAACAAAATAAAACAAAAACAAATAAAAAGGGAGAGAGAATCAATTTTGGTTTTGTGTTCCGTGCTTTGTACTTTAAAATAATCACTTTTTTAAAAAAAAATTATATGACACTTAAAATTTATCAGAGATAAGACAGTATATTCTACAGATACGAATTCAATGATTACAACAATCTTATCAAGTGAAAAGTTATTTTTAAAAGATAAATATAGTCAAAAAATAATTTGGACAAGATTTGTCACACGATAAGAGGAATACAAGTTGGTCTGATTTCAGCGTCACTCCATGCCCACACCCAGCTCTGCCTCAGTGGTTTAGTTAGTGCAGTACTGGAGTTGTTGCCTTTCTAGATGGTTTCTGATAAGGACTTCCTTTCAACAACCTCCTGCTATGAATTGAATATTTGTTTCTCTTTTGAAATTCTAATGTTGAAACTTTAGTCTCCTATGTAATGATATTCAAAGATGGAACCATTAGGAGTAATTAGGCCATGAGAGTAGAGATCAGTCCCTTGTAAGAGACATGAGGGAACTTTATTCTTCTCTCCATTTCTCCACTGTGTGTGGATACACCAAGAAGGTATACATGTGCAAACCAAGAAGAGAGCCCTCACCAAGAACCAAATTGACCTGTACATTGATCTTGGACTTCCCAACCTCCAAAATAAATGAGAAACACATACTCATTGTTTAAGCCACCTAGTCTATGTTATCTTTGTCATAGAAACCCAAACTGACTAATCACCCACCAACACTCTACCTGTTTCTTCAGGACTTT